ACCCGGCACCGGCGCTCACCGCCGAGCATCGCCCGTGCCGGCCACGCCGGAGCTGCCGGCAGACGGGGAGGGATGCTGTGGCCAGCAGGGCTTTCCTCCACGCTGGCCCGCTGTGTGCAGGAGGAATTGGCCACCAGTCGCTCTGTGGAGACCACATTTGGGAAGCGAGGAGGGCCCTAAGCTCCTGGGGTGCGCCCAGGAGCCGCCTTTCTCCCGGCATCCGGGAGGGATTTACCGTGACAGCATCTGTAATAGAAGGGAATAATGAACACACCATCTTTCTCCCTCTCCAGAAGATGCTTATCTCTCAGGCCTGGCCACCGAGGAATAGAGAGAAGCAATTGAAAACTTCAGAGCTGAAACTGCAGAGGATGCTGCGGGGAGAGATGTCCAGGCGATGGTGTCCCCATGGGGACCCGCAGCAGCCACGGGGCCAACGGGCAAATCCGTGCTTCACTCTCCTGGCCAAACTGGGAAAAGGCTCATGGAACCCAGCTCAATGGCCCCACGCCTGTGTGGCAGGAGGACACCCGCACTGGGGATGCACCAGGGGGTCTCACCCCCATCACACCCCCCTCCCCGGGGCAGGACAAGGGGAGAGGGTCCCAGGGACCACCCCGGGGACGTGGGATGGCACCTTGAGTAAACGAGAAGCTCCGGAGCCGAGCGGCGGTGCCAGGGGCTGGCAGCAGCCCAGGGGCTCCGTTATTTTTGTAAATGTTAATTCCCCACCGGCGCATCGTCCCGGCGGAATATTTTAGCACCTTTAATGCAATTTCCTACTCTCTCTGAAATATCATTTTAATACAAGCCAGCCGCACCGCGTACCTGCTCCCTAATAAACCTCTGCGACTTTAATGAACTAAATAGCAAATTACTTTTTTATTCAAGAATGAAATTTCATCATATTCATAATTCATATTTTATTTCAGACATCTGCTGCTGATTACATTACATTTAACTAAAATTAGATGATGCTCAGAATGTAATTAAGCCCCTGCCAAATTCTCTGGCCCACCAATACCAGCCTCGCTCAGCGGGGGCCGCTTGGAACCTAATATGTAATTAGGAGCTATTTTCTAGCTGTTTTTAAAGTCTGAAAATTAGCTGCCTTTATTAATCACACAGACAAATATAAAGCGGAGCCAACGCTTGCTGAAATTTCTAAAAAGGATTTTTTTTTAATTATACACCACATAGCGCTGAGACTCATTTTGAATGTTGATTTGTTGTGCACTGACATTTTGACAACTAGTTCTCAATTTGTCTGTCGTAGTTAGGCAACAACAAAGCAGACGGTAATACTTAACTTTCAAAACCTTCAACGTGCCGGGAGGGGAGCGGGAAGGGAGAGAAAGGAGAGGGGGGGGACGGGCTCCCCATGGGTGCCCACCTCCCTGGGCACCCCAAATTCCTGCTGCTGAGCCCCAGCCAGACCCCGGGAAGGAGAGAGCCCCAAAATCCCTGGCACTGGGGTGGCAGAGGGCACGGGGAGTTGTTCTGCTGTGAGAGATGCAAGAATCATCCTTGAAATGGCACTGGGGGGGTCCTGCCTCACCAAGAAGCCCCTTGGGACACCCCCAGCCCCAGGGGTACCCCCAGATGGGACACCCCCAGCCCCAGGGGGAACCCCAGATGCCCCAAGTCCTCCAGGCTCCCTGCGCAGAGCCGAGCACACATTGGGACACCCCCAGCCCCAGGGGTACCCCCAGATGGGACACCCCCAGCCCCAGGGGGGAACCCCAGATGCCCCGACTTCTCCAGGCTCCCTGCGCAGAGCCGAGCACACAGTGCTGAGCATTCGGGGGGGGGTTTCCCCCTGCCCCATCCCATCCCCAGGGGGGACCCCAGGGAGCCCCCGAGGGCCCCGAGCAGCCCCCCCGCCCCCTCGGTGGCTGCGCTCTGACATTTCCTCTCTCTCACTGACCCTTTTTCTGTTCTCTCTGTTATCTCAAATAATGTCACTGCCTTTTCAGCATCTATTCACCGGAGCAGAAAGAAGCCACTGCTGACACGGATTTTTTTTTTTAAAAAAATAATACCATCTGTGCCTGGCACCCAGCCGGCCCCGGCCCACAGCGAGCGGCGCTGTCTGGGGATGAGGGGGGGGACCCGGTGGGTGGGGGACAGGAGCCCCCCAGGGTGGTGACAGACACCCCAGCTCTGCCTGCTGGCTGAGGACACCGTGGTGGTGATGCTGCCCCACGCGCCAGGAGCATCCACAGGCAGCAAAGGAAAATAAAGATCTTGAAAGGTGGTTTTTTTTTATACAAAGCATTTTCCTTTTTGCTGTCAAGAAAACGCTGGTGTCCCCCAGTGGGGGGGAAGCCCCTCTGTCCCCTCCTGCCAGGCCACCACAGCCCCCCAATGCCTTCCTGCATCCCTTTTTTCGCAGAAGGATGGAGCGCAGCCTCCTCTCCCCGCTCCCGCGCTGGCTCTTACGAGGCAAACCCGGGCTCGTTAGTCTTTCTGCAAAGCTCATAATGTGAAAAATGAAGCTCAAGAAAAATTAGCCAAATTACCAGGCTAATCCTTCAGCAGCGATCGCTGCTCCGCTGCACATCCGTAAAACCCAAGCGGAGACGGGGCAGTGCAGACGGAAAAGTGTTTGTGGGGTGGCCAGAGAGAGGAGGGAATGAGTCCTGGGGGGGTGGAGAACAGGCTCGTTAGGCTTAATTTGCTCCCCAAAAAACGAGCTGAAGGGAGGAACGGGGCTGTGTCCCCTCCTGCACCCACCGTGCCCCTGCAGGGCATGAGGGTCTTGGGGGAGGAGGCGCAGGGATGGGGCTCCCTACATCCACGCTGGAAAGTGGGTGTGAGAAGCTGGAGGGATTTCAGGAGATGGCTCCAAGCTGGTGCAACCAAAGAGGTGATTCCCCCCTAAAAGTTGGAGCTGGGCACATGCCAAATATCCCCCCCCCCTCCCTCCAGCTTTTCCCTTTCCCGGTTATTACAGTGCTGGGACCCTGGGAAGAAGGCTCTGATGGAGCCAGGGAGGGAGGAAGAGGGAAGGGAGGTGGGAAGAGGGATGCAGAATCCACATTTCCTTCTAACAAACTGGAACTGGCTCCAGCTGCTGACTCCAGCAGTTCTGGTTCCCCCGGCACCGGGAAGGCACAGCCGGGCTCCGGCAAAGCCGTGCCATCAGGGTGGGGAGCACCTTCCTGGCTCCAAGCTGGTGCAACCAAAGAGGTGATTCCCCCCTAAAAGTTGGAGCTGGGCACATGCCAAATATCCCCCCCCCCTCCCTCCAGCTTTTCCCTTTCCCGGTTATTACAGTGCTGGGACCCTGGGAAGAAGGCTCTGATGGAGCCAGGGAGGGAGGAAGAGGGAAGGGAGGTGGGAAGAGGGATGCAGAATCCACATTTCCTTCTAACAAACTGGAACTGGCTCCAGCTGCTGACTCCAGCAGTTCTGGTTCCCCCGGCACCGGGAAGGCACAGCCGGGCTCCGGCAAAGCCGTGCCATCAGGGTGGGGAGCACCTTCCCGGGGGGCATTCCCACTGGAATGGAGCAGGAGCTTCCTGCAGAGGGGTCTCACAGACCCCAGCCTGGGAATATCACCCAGCTCCACCCCGGCAGGAGCAGTGGGATGAGCAGAGGCTGGAAGAAAACTCGGGATGTGGCTGAAGCCTTCCCAGAAAGGGGAACCTGCACCCACCCATCGTGCCCCAACGCTGTGCCCCACAACTCACATCACTCCCATCTCAGCTGCTGGGCTCAGCCACCGCCTTTCCCCGTGTCACCTCTGCATCTCCATCACCCCACAGAGCAGAGGGTGACAGGAGAAGCCTGGATGTTTGAAGGCAAAAGCATCCCAGGCTGCAGGATCCCATGGCAAGGAGATGGAAACCAATGCGGGACAACACTCACCACCCTCAGCTGCTCCTTCAAGGACACAGCAGGTTTCCCCCCACCGACCTGAGTTGGTCTATTTAAAACCACCGGTTTTAATTATGATTTAAACCAACAAATCAAAAAATTCCTTGTTTTTTCTTCCCCTCCCACCCCGACGTGCGAGGGAAGCCGCTAACGAGGATCAAACACTTCATTTTGGAGCGAAGTTTCTTGGCGCTGAATGTGGCATTTCTTTGTGGGAAGCAGCAGAAAGTACACACACGTTGAAGCGGTTAGAGAGGCAACAAACACGCTTCCAGAGACTCGCATTGATTACACTGTATTAGAAAATGGTAAATTATTTATCAGGCTTTCTGACTTGTGATTAGTGTAAAGCCGTTCTTGGATGCAAATTGGAATTGTAATTAGACATGTAGGAACCCAGCATCTGAGACCTGTTTTTATTGAAGCAGTGTAAGGTACTTCTTTTTCCCTTTTGTACCCGGCATAATTATCAAAGAACACTTTGCACATATAAAACCATCAATTTATTAAAACCAGAGACAGTTTTACATCCGAGCAGTGATGTAAAGCTGGTCATCGTGACGCTGGGGTTTCAGAGTTAGTACATCTTGATTATTTTTTTTTTAATTCCTGCCCTGAAAGGGGAACGCAGGCTCCCCCCACCGCTGCCAATTTAGTACTCAGCTTTGAATGAAGCAGTTCTTGAACAGAGCTACACTTTTAAAAAAAAAAAAAAAAAAAAAAAAAAGATAGCCCAGACAAACAGAACAATGATAAAATCTCTTTGGCAGGTACCGAAGAGCCCACAGCCACTAAGAGTCAGCTCATTACTTTAAGACACTCCGGCCTCAGACACTTACCTGCCAATTCCCTTTAGTTCCGTGGTCCAACTCATTAAAATTTTACAAGTGAAAAAACCTGCATTTACATTTGTAATACGTTTAAATGCATTTAAGGTTTTATAGTTTGCCAATTGCAAGTTACGGTCAGCTTTGGAGGAGGTGGGTTTTAATTATTATTATTTTTTTTTTCTTACTTCCAACGAAAACAAATTTGTGTTTGCTCTGCTCCTGACCCCCCTCCAGCCCTAGTTTCCCCCTCCAGCCCCAGTTTCCCCCTCCAGCCCCAGTTTCCCCCTCACCAGGCCCTGGCAGTGGTGTGTTTTACACACCCAAGGACAGGCAGGGTCAAGGCTGGACTCATTTAAGTGTGAGAGATCCCAGAAGAGCTATGGCAAGTAGGAATGTTAAGGCTGCCCTTGCCTCTGGCCACCCTCCTCACAGGTGACAGTTGCTCAGACCTTGAGCACGTGAACAGAAGCCAGAGTCTGGCTACAGACCCTGCTTATCAGAGATTAGAGTGAAAACAGTGATAATACCATTAAAAATGTGCTTTTTTTTTTCGTTATCCAACTCTTAATTAGTATCAAGTAAGAGCTGTACTTAAAAGGTTTACTCTCCACCGTGAACTGCAGTCCAGAGAGAAACAGAGACCTGAGTGTCAAGCCTTGAGCTGCCAAAGATGCTTTTCACCCAAAAATGTCAAAAGCTCTCTGCGCATCCACCTCGCCAGCCACGCTGCCCGCCCTCGCAGGACGCCGGGGGAGAAGGGGAGAGACACCGCACGCATCCGAAGCAGCAGAACCCAGCAAAGTGTCATTATCCGCCCTGGAATCCGGCCAAGACCCTTCTCCTCCTGCCCCTTGGGATTAGCACAGCAGTTGAGTAAAAAAAAAAAAATAATTCAAAACAGGATTTTTTGAGAGCCGGGGTCAAACTCGCACCAAGCCCAAGTTGCAAGTCACTCCCGGGTCCTCATCGCAGCCCCCACTCCCAGTGACACCAGACCCAAAACCAGCTCCCCAGCCGTGTCTTGAGACACACAGCCACACCAGAGAGAGGGAGAGACGTTTCCAGGCACAGCCATGGCTCCGAGGACGCGGTGCCAAGAGCTTGGGGTCTTGCCAGAGGCAGCAGCTTAACTCTGGGAGAGCGCCTGCAGCACTTGGGCGTCTAAAGAGGAGGAGGAGTGCAGGGTCACGCCGGGGGCCCCGATATTGGTCTCCCAGCACTCGAATCCACAGGCACACAAGTCTCTCTTGGCTGCTTCCACGGCCAGCGGGGAGGTGTCTGCCAAGAGGAAGGCAAGAGCGGCCAGTTAGTCGGATAGGCCACTGCAGGGGGACCAAAATTGGCCACCACACATTTCAACACATGCCCCCCGGAGCTGGGCCAACGCCCAGAAGATCCAATGCACATAAATGAAGGCCCTGCATCACCCCTGTAAGGAACACTGCAAAAACACACCATCCCACACTCATCACACAGCTTCACAATGCACCACAGCGGGTTGGGAACCCTCTGCTTCCAAACCTGACCCCATGGAAGGAACTGAGAAAGGATGCCCAGGGCGAGCAGAGGGTTACTGACCTGGTCTCAGCAGGGTGATGCCACAGCCGCCCCCGCCGGCCCCGGTCAGCTTGCTGTGCAGGCCGTGGGACGCCGTCACCCGGCACAGCCTGTCCAGGGAGGGATGCCCGACTCCAATCACGTTTAACTGGTGTTGGTTTATATCAAAGAGTTCCTAAAAGCAATGGCACACACATGAGATGAGCTCAGGTGGTGACAGGGGCTCTTCACAGCCATGGCTCCCTCCCCAGCGAGGTGCAGGGGAGCTGCCCTGCCTTCCCAGCCACCCCATTTCTGCAGGGAGTTTGGCCACCAGCATGTCTTGGGGCTGGTGGACCAAGGTCAACGCTGGGGTCTGAGCTCTGGGCTGCTCATCTGTCCCCATCCCCCTCATGGTTTGTGCTGCTACTGCCCACCACAGTGACAGCAGTTCAACACCCTCCAGACCTCCTCGCTCAGGGAGGCCGGAGAAAATCCTGGTCACCGCAAGCTGCCAACAGGCATTTATTTCAGGTGCTAAATCCGTGCTCCCTGATGCCTCCCGACTGCTTCACCTCTCCCCTGTCACAGGAGTGTTGAGCAGGAGACTGTGCAAGCCCCCTCGCCGGCCGTGGGAAGGGCACGAAGCCAGCATCCCTCATTCCTGGCTGTCACCCTGCCCTGCTCTGTAATCCATCCATCCAGCATAACTAAATCCAGGGGACTTCTGACACAGCCGAGTTGGAAACGGCATCGCTGGAGAGGGGACGTGGAGTCACCTCCCCTGGGTTTGCATTGTGCAGCTCTTCTCCCTCCCCACGGGCAGGGCCTGGGCTGGGAGCCAAGGGGCCTCTCACCAGCACCTCGCTGGGAATCTGGCACCCAGCACAAAGTGGGGTCGAGAGGGTCCTCCCTTTCAGGGGAGAGCAGCACAAGCCACTCACCGAGCACGGCTGCCCTCCAAGCAGAGCCACAACTGCCTCTCTGCCACGCTGTCCCACCCAGCCACAAATGCCACTGCTCCTGGAAAATGCTGCCATGGCAGCAAAGACCAAATGGCCCCAGCGACAGACAACACTACATAAAGGTGGGGGTTACAGCTTCTCACCTCCCAGGACGAGAGGTGAGGAATTAAGGAACAGAGGGAAGGGCTTTGACTGCACATGGAGAAAACCTGAAGCAGGACCAGGAACTGATACCAGGCCCCCAAGGATGGCAGTGCCCTCCCAGCTCATCAGTGCCATGAGCGGAGGAAGCTCATTCTCAGCACCGCTGGTCTGACACCCCAAATCCATCACCACCCTGACGTGTGGCTGCTGTTCTCATCGCTGTCCCAGAGGGTGTCACAAGCAGGGAGCCAGCTGAGGTGGGACCCATCCCAGAGAAGCTCCTTTCTAAGAGGAGCCCTGTGCTTCTCTCTCCAGTCCGTGCCCCCAAACACCTCCCTGCTGCAGCTTGCGGTGAGCGGGAGGGATGCTCTGCAGTGAGCAGGGAGGGATGCTGCACACAGGGAGCAGTGGGAGCCACGCTACAGGGTGGCAGGTGTCAGTCACATCACCCTCCCTCAGCTCCTGCCAACCCCACAAGGGAGGGAAAGATGCAGAAATAGTCCCTCTCCCCACCTCCGGAGCGTGTCTGTGCTGCATTTAAACAAATGGGGGGGAGAGGAATTAACCAGTCGCACGCGGAGCGCGTCTATCACAAGTTCTGTGCTGGGCTGGACAGACATCCATCTAGAGGCCTCTTTATATGCCTGAGTGAGGGCACAGCACTGTCTATGATGATCCAAGACACCTGTCATCTCCTGATCCAAAATCTGCCAGGAATGGGATGACAGCTTATGACACACTAGACTAGTTCGATGGTTCAAATACAATGCTGTCCAGAACTGCACATTTCAGAAACAGCCAAATATATATATATATATATTTATATGCACTGCATATAATCAACTGTGCCTCTGCGGGCTCTTCAAGCACAAGACAAACCCAACAGATTCAAGACAGAAATCTGCTCATTGCAGTGCTGCTTCCTGGGCATCGTATACAAGGCTGCTCTGGCATCTTCCACATGAGGATCTCAAAGCACACTTTAAATTAATCCTCCTCTTCGCTATCCACCGATACTTCTGACAGCTTGAGCTGTGTGGAGAGGAGTCATCTGAAGCTGTGCTGCAAACAGACTCCAGATCTCCTGCAGCCCAGCCCTCGTTAGGGTCAGTTCACCCCAATGGGTGCAAAAACCCACCATCCTCTTGGTGCAAAGGGAGCAGAACGACTTTGCTATGAAACCCATGGGAGACCCTCCTGTGCTTCCTGCTGTCCCAGCAGCAGCTCACCCACATGTAGTGAGGTGCCACGTGGCCTGAAGCAAAGAGAAGGCTGTACCCACCATCTGCTAACAGCGTGGCCCTGCACCACTGCCACAGCTTCAGGTGGGACCTCAGCTCCCTGTCCCATCCCAGAGCTGGAACAGCACCTCTGGAGGACACTCACAGCTGTGGTGGGGACAACCTGCCAGAGAGAGCAAGGACAAGCAGAGGTCCTCACAGGAGGGATCCAGATGCCAACGAGGAACCACACTGCTGGTACCAAATGCTTCTTGACCATCCAAGTCACTTGGCACCCAGGGCCAGGCCAGGTTTGCCTCAGCTGGGACACTGCCACATATCCTTACCCCACGGTTGCATGAGCCCATATTATGGTGCTCTCAACACTGCAAAAAAAACCCTTCTTCCACTTGGAAGCATGTTTCCCCCCACCACGGCAGCTTCTCCTACTTCAAACACAGCCAAGACAAACGCAGATCTTTGTATGCACCTCATGCATCAATGTCAGGTCAGCTCTGGGCACAACTCTGTTCCTTATCCTCTGGAGCCAGGATGAGCACAGAGCAATGGGAGCTGGCTCCTAACCAGTCCATCACAAACCAGTGGCTGCTGGGCTCCCAGCTCCTCGCTCCAGCCTTGGCAATGACAAAGCAACTGCTTCACAGGCAGAGACTGCCAGGAGGAGCGTGGCTGGCCCCCGGCGCAGGGAGGCAGCATCTCAGCCCCAACTCACTCCACATTTCTCAGCAAAGGGAAACAAAACCTCCAAAGCTACAGGTCCACAAAACAGCAGATCTTCTCCCTCCCTCCCTCTGCACCCCTGCAGAGAGACACCAGCAGCATTTTCTGTCTCTTGGCTCCAGGAAGGGCATTAAAAGCAGCACACGCAGACCACGGTTTCACTCGGAACTGAACATTTCCTGCCATCAAATTTTTTTCTTAGACCTAATGTTCTTTAAATGACATTTTGATGTTCAACAGTAACAGTGTCTAAAAATACTGGCACACAAGCCCCTTACCTCCAGCACAGGGTAATACTCAGGTGATGGATTTGCAGGCATCGCTTCCAGAACACTTTGGCACTCCTGAGAAATTGCATCGATGGAGTCCAGCACCGGGTTCATTATAGCAGGGAACTGAGAAGGGGGGAAAGGCAAGATATGAGAAGACTGCTCTCTAGCCTCCTAATACCACTGTGATAACACTGGCCCCAGTTTCTTTGAGCTGGGCAATTCCTCACCCCACTTGGGGCTACTCATTCGTGGAAACACCCCCCCCTACACACAAAGCATCATCTGCAGAAACTGGAGGAAGAGAGGGAAACAGGCCAGAGGAAGGAAGTGGTGATTTTTGTGGCAAGCCCTGTCAATGCTGGAGAGAGGGAAGAGTTGAGCTGAACCCCCATTCCCAGGCTGGAACCCCCATTCCCAGGGCAGCTGGCTGTTAGCTACCAGCAGGTAGGAATCCACTGACTACAAGTGGGATCTCCCAAGAGATGTCCAAGAGACCTGCAGTCCCACGTGAGGAGATCTGAGCTTGTGTGGGTTATCTCCCCACCCCACATCTCCATCCCTGCAACCACACGGGTGCTGCACCTTCAGGATCTTCTCTTTGACACCAGCCACCAGGACCTTGGTGCTTCGAGGGACTTTTGTGTTGGTCAGCAAGATCCTCAGTGTGGGCACCCTGGAAGCAACAGGAGACATCTCCTCACCTCTTTCCTTCACAGTCCCCCAGCAGCTCCCAAGGCCCAGACAGATACAGTTTGTTCTGCCTTAAAAGGCCTATTTGAGCAAGACACCCAAGATAAGGAGTCTCATTAGTTTTAAAAAAAAGTTAATTGGGTGCTTCAGCACTAGCAGGGTTCAGGCTTGTTCCTCTTAGATACAAGGAACAACTGCACAAGCGCTATAAATAGGACTGTAATGTATTTACTGAAATCCATGTTTTTCAAGCAAATTTTTTTCCTTTGAAATACTATCTGCGAGACTAGCCAGCAGTAGCCATTAACTGCTAATAGAGCAATTTCATGCACTGTGAAAGATTTTAATGGAGTCAGATTATACTTCATTGGCAGGAGGCAGAGGGAACAGGCAGGACCTGGATTTCTCTCTGCAGCTTGGTTTTCACGCCGTCCTACCACCAGGTAAGCAAAAAGTTCCCCCTCCCCTCAATGTCATTTGCTGCCAGGAGGAGATCAGTTCCTGCTGCCCATAATGCCATGAAATTAATATTGATCCTTCGTGCTGTGTTCATCTAATGTCAGATAATGACCAAACATTTCATTGTTCCCGTCCACCCCAACAACACTCGAGACAACACTCAACCTACCCACACCCACGGCAAAAATTGGGCTACAAAGCCCCTGTGCCATGCTGGTAGTGATCTCCCATCAATCCCAGACCCTCCAAGATCCACCCAATGCCTCGCTGACATATTCCACCCACCATATGTAAGCGTTATTTTTAAACTCGTATATTACCTCTTTAATGGTGTGATTTTTCCTGATTGGTATCTCAGGGCTCCACCTAAAGTAAAATACATGCATTGTCTCAGCACACAGCGAGCCGAGAGATAACACAGCGCGAAAGAGACAGAAGGTCTTTCATCTTTAGAACCTCACCCAGAGCATATGACAGTAATTGCAAGAAACACCAGCTAAATGAACCATGTTCCCAGACAGCATGAATCTGCCTAACCCTGCTGACTTAATGAGAGGGTCTGGCTGGACATAGTTAACCCAATGCCTTTCCCTTTGCTCTCTTCTACTCTGGGATCACATTAAATATGTTTTAAAAGGCAAAGAGTTCGGCCAGCATTAAATCTTTAATGAAAAAAAATGAAGAATCAAGCAGTGATTCCCCGGGGCAGAGCCAAGCACGCAGGTTTCAAACCGGACTGAACGTGTGCACTCATGTCAGCAGCAATCCCTCAGTGTGGAATTTCATTGTCCAGAAGGAATGTCTCACTTGGCTCCTACTTTTACAGAGGCATTGCGATTAGGTCTCATTAGAAAGATTATTAAAAGTCTCCAAGGACACTTCCAAAACACTTGGAAGTCTCTGCTAATTGAAGCTAAATGACAGCTGTCCAACTGCATTTTCTACTGCTTTATCCTTGGGACAGGATCAGGTTTCTTTGTTCACGCCAGAATGTTTAAATATCAGTTCTTTGCAACGCAGCCCCTGCCCCACGGCACTTGCCTGGGGGCTGCAGATCTCTGGTGTTACTGCAGCACGTCCCCAACAGCCCAGCTGGCTCCAGTCCCAGCTTACAGATGGGGCAAACCAAGACAGAAAAGGATTTGCTCTATTCAAATAAAAAAAAAAACCAAAAGGACCTGAATTTGGGAGTTTCTTGTCCCTCTGTTGTACCTCAGTGCAAGGAGACAACCTGCTCCATCCAGTGTCCCTGCAGCAATCCCAACCAACCCTTAGCACTTGCAGAATTGCAACCTGTGGCATCTGCTCACCCCCTTCCCCCAGCTGATGCACCCTCTGCAGCGGAGAATGGAAAGGTGGCTGCTGCTCTACCTGCCCATCAGCCTCTCCTCAGCATCCTCACTCCGTGCTGGGGAGCAGCAAACACACACACACCTACCCCAGGTACCGACAGCATTATCCACTCCCGAGGGATTGCCATGGATCACCCGCTCCCCCTGGAAGGCCCAGCTGTTAATCAGAGTCAGCTCCTCTTCTGTCCACCTGAAAGGCAAGAAAATTACCCCAATACACACCAAAACCAGCACATGTGGAGCGACAGAGAAAAGCACGGGAGGCCATAGGAGATACAAAAGCAGCAGGAACCATACAAGGCTGTGGGAAGCCCCATCACTGTGAAGACCCTCTGTGCACTGCATTCTTTTGGCAGAGGTTGGATATTGTCATTTACAGCACTTAACTGGGACTCGAGACACATCCAGCCCACGAGGGGAACTGGTGCTGCCCTACAGAGACAGCACAAAGGGCACAACCACTGCCCAGCGGCGAGGGAGGGAGCAGATTTGGGGAGCAGATCCCAGACCTAGCCTAGCAAAGCTCAGATTTAAGGGAATACAAGTCCAGACCTCTCCACGACTCCCCAACACCACGTGTTACCACACATCTTGGCCCGAGATCCTGCTCCCCAACAGGCAGGATGGTGTATTTATAGACACAGAAGGCACAATGTGAGAAGAGAATAGTAAAAGTCGCATTTCACACGTGCAGCTTCAGCTGCAGAGGCCTCATAAATTGGGTCAAAAGGTGTAGCTCCACTATCTCCAGCAAAGCCTTTGATTTTTAGCAATTAACTCCTAACACTTTGAGCTGCACCAGGTGCTGGTACTGAGAGTGTGGAAGAGAACCAAATGCAGATCTAGGAGGTGTTATGCTAAAAACCACAAACCCAGGTCTTTTCGTTGCCTTAAAAGCAGTCACATAAATTGGTAAGGGCTTTGAGAGTTTAAATGCTGGCACAAAGAGTTTGGTGCTGGGTCAGACTCAGCAAGGATCAAGGCCCCCGACTGAACATACCAGTTAATGGGCTGTAGCAATACCAAAAGCAAACACAGAGCTGCCACTTACAAAGCAATTGCTGGCGGCAACTTCACTGCAATTCCACCACAGTGATGTCTCTCCCAGCACCTCTCAAAATCCCTGGCCCTGCTCAGAGCCTGCTTCTGCGAGGCACAGACACCCACAACCACCTTCAGAACCCACCAGCCTGTTTCAAACCCCCCTCACTCACCCCAGGCTGAAGGGCTGTCTCAAACTCGGGCACCCCAAGGAAAGCTTGACACCCCCAGGGAGCCAAATACCCCTCCTGCACCCTGCTGTGACACACTCAGACTCACACAGAGACACAAATACACATTTCTAACCCCCCCCAGACACACCACACACATCCCAAGCCACGATTCCAAACAGCCTAATGCACAGTGGTATCAGACACCCCAGCACCAGTGATGCTCTGGTGAGATCAGAGCTGGTGTTTGGTGCAGTGAGAACCTGCATTCGACAGGTTTTTAGAATATAGGGTCCCGAACAGGTATTACACAATGGAGCAGAGGCACAAACACAGATTTTGGAAAAACATCACAGCCTTATCCAAAATAAGAAGAACCTCTAAGGCAAGGGAGAAATTCTGAGAGCCACCTGCTATCTGGAAGCTGCTTCCTTTAACTCCCCACTTCCCCGGGCCTCAGCTGAACGTCTTTATCCGTCTCCACACACCTTTCATTTCACTTGCCAATATTTAATCTGTGAAGCATTCAGGAAAACAGCTCACACCACCACTACTCAAAATAGAAGCGCAGTTTGCTGTAAACCACTTGTTTTTAATCCTCTTTGAGAGGCTGCGATTCTTCTCTACACAGGAGTCATTATATCACGCTGTTCTTTTCTTGCGATGTTAAGCAAAAAACCTTCTGAAGTCTGACACCCCCATCTCTCACTTACCCCTCTGCATGCCAGCTGGAAGGAAAAAAAATAAAAAAAATGAATTTATAGGCTGTATTCAAGCTGAAGCTAAGACGTGTGAGCTGAGAATGAAGACATCCTCGCTGCCTGGTTTGGAACCAGCCTTTCATTTCTCACACCGTGTGACTATTTGGGAGATTTACCCCAGCCCAGCGTACAAACTGCTCCGCTCCAGGAACACGTTTCTGGGTCAGGCTGCAAAATTCTTTGTTTTTTGAAGCAGAGCACGGTCCCTGTTGCTCTCTCACTTTTAGTCCCACGCAAAAAAGCCCAGAAGCCAACCATAAAAGGTTGCACCTGGCACTGGGTGCACAATGGAGGGTTCTGCCACCCCAGCTGCGATCCGCATCTTTACACAGAGCCTCCTCACACACACACAGAGGAGCAGACCAGTTTTTCAAGACTGAACTCCAAGGGAAAGCAACCCAAGGGCAGAAGGAAAGAAACTCCCTTTCACCAGCCACTGATAAAGGGGAAGTTCAGGCAAGAGATCAGAAGGAAATGCACCACACACTGGAAAAAAAAAAATTCATGTGAAAATGCAGAAAAAACAGAAAGGATCCTCGACTCTTTGAGGACTCAAAGCAAAACCTGGAAGACACTCAGGAGCAGAGAGGAAATAGAGGTTGAAAAAATTTCACCACATTAAAGCGTGTGTTTTATTTGCTTAGCAAAATAAAGCTTTTTTTTTTTTTAGTATGCATATCTCACACTAGACAGGGGAAACGGCGCAAGTTTTACCAAGTCTCTGCATCCAGTTGCTTTTATCAGAAATGAATTGCAAACACACGATTCACAGGTCAGAGCTCTGGGAAAGGGCACGTCTCTGCTGCTGGGAACACAGGGCAGCAGCAGGAGAGGAAGGAAAGGAACTGGGCTCAGGGTGCCACTGCTGTGGCCACAGCCACAGCCCAGGGGGTGGCCAGAGAGACCAAGAGAGGTGCCAGTATCTCTGCAGGTAAAAGAAAGAGAGCAGAGCTGCCCCAGGCCGTGCATCCAAGGTAGGGAGGCTTCCCCAATGTGTTGTGTTACCTTGCTGTGGATTCTCCATCCTTCAGAGGGCAGGAAATAGCTCCACAGGCAGTCAGCAGGGCGGCCGCCAAGCAAACAGCGTAGGCAGCACTGGATCCCAGCCCAGCTCCCGTGGGCAGCTCGGACCACACCAGTATGTCCACACTGGGGACATCTCTGAAACACAAACACACACGGATGTTAACGCCAACGGCCTCGAATTCCATCTCGAGACAACATTTCAAAGGCAAAAAGATGCCAATTAGGACTGATCACTGGAAAAGCTGGTTGAAAACTGGCAACATCAGCACACGCACACACAGCCGGCACACACACACACACACACACACAGGGGCTCCACGAGTGCTCAGGCTGCGCAGCTGAGTGGCCTCCCTAAAGCCATTGTACCAGAACAAAGCCTGGCTGAATCGGATCTATGATTAGCACAGCTCATCAGGCTGCTAGCGGGGCACTTAGTAACCAAATACTTGAGCAGCACCATAAAGAGACCCTTCAAAGATTGCTGTAAACAGGATTTTAAACGTATTTCTAAATAAAGCCTAAATATCCCAAATCTCTAACTGCGTAGTTACATCCCACTGGAGCAACAAGCTGATGGGGAGGCTGAAACACACACTGATGTGTACCCACACGCCCCATTTCTCCACTGACTGCACCCGGGTTGTGTTACAGAACCTAACATCGAACCCAGGAGCTTTCCACCGGCTGGTGAGTGACACGAACTATGAACTGCTGGTTTCAGAGCAGGCTGATGACAGCCCCAGAGCTATCACCAGGCAGCTCAGAGACTGCAAAGCAAATTGCAATGCAGCTACACATCATCATCCTTTAACCTTTGATTCTTCTGCTGTGAATATAGAAGTTAAGTTCTGACTTGGTTTAAAACAGCAAGCAGTGCTGCATCAGCACACACACACACACACACAGGGGCTCCTCGAGTGCTCAGGCTGCGCAGCTGAGTGGCCTCCCTAAAGCCATTGTACCAGAACAAAGCCTGGCTGAATCGGATCTATGATTAGCACAGCTCATCAGGCTGCTAGCGGGGCACTTAGTAACCAAATACTTGAGCAGCACCATAAAGAGACCCTTCAAAGATTGCTGTAAACAGGATTTTAAACGTATTTCTAAATAAAGCCTAAATATCCCAAATCTCTAACTGCGTAGTTACATCCCACTGGAGCAACAAGCTGGTGGGGAGGCTGAAACACACACTTCTGTGTGCCCACACACCCCATTTCTCCACTGACTGCACCCGGGTTGTGTTACAGAACCTAACATCGAACCCAGGAGCTTTCCACCGGCTGGTGAGTGACACGAACTATGAACTGCTGGTTTCAGAGCAGGCTGATGACAGCCCCAGAGCTATCACCAGGCAGCTCAGAGACTGCAAAGCAAATTGCAATGCAGCTACACATCATCATCCTTTAACCTTTGATTCTTCTGCTGTGAATATAGAAGTTAGGTTCTGACTTGGTTTAAAAATGTCTGCATCAGACACTGCCCTGAGCACCCATCCAGTAACTTCCACCAGTATCATCAACAGTGTTGGTCACGTTCAGAAGCTGGAACAGCCTGAGCTGTGGTTACCCCAAGTTCTTATAGTTTTAGGGAGATTCAGCCCACAAAAGGGATCGGATTTAGCTCAGACAATGAACTCACAGCTCATTTCTATTATTTTTCTATAAGCTGGGATGACGGGAGGTGTCTGCTGGAGGGAGGGATGTCTCTCTCTGCTTCTGGTGACTGTGCAGGAAGGGTGGGATGAACTGTTCTGACTTAAGCACCTCAAAGCCTAGAGGAGAGCAGATAATTCCCAACCCCACTGCTTGGGACACACCCCACACTAAACAGCTCAGCTCTGAAGAGTATCTCCTGAGGTGCTCAGAACCTAAATGAAGTGCGATTTCCTGTCATTTCTTATTTTGCCTCAGATACTTGTTTTTTTCCCCTGACCTTGCAGAAACAATTAACGGTGAACAACACTCAAGACAGCATGTTTATTCGGGGGCAGGAAGAAGAGCCTTACCCATACTTAGCCGAAATAGCCAGGCACATATACAGAAAGGCAAGAGTAGCAAGGCTCTCGGGAGCTGTGGCTCCGGCAGCGATTCCAGCAAACTCTCTCAGCGTATCCAGCTGTTCTACGCTGGGGGATTTAGATTCATCAAAGTCAGCTATGGAAGCAAGGAGGGGAGAATTCAAACACTTAGAAACCAGGGAAACGTTAAACTTGAAAACAGTATTTACAACAGTATCTCCCGTTAGAGTATGCAAAACCAGATTGAGCTAATTTCAGATTTCACTACAAACTTTCTACCTGGGGATTCGTGATGAAATAAAAGCAAAATCTCCACCAGCCACTTGGAACACCCAGTGTTTCCACACCCCACACCTGCATTGTGCTACAGCAACTGTCTCCTTGCCTACATTTTCCGGTGTGCCCATCCATCATTACGTAGAACTTGGCAAATCACAAACTTGTTATTAAAAACACGGATAGTCTAATGCGCTTCACACCAGTCTGGTCTCCAAAGGGCCAGGAGCAAGCGTCAGTGTAAGAGACCTTTTGGCCAACACTGAGAAAGGTCACCCAATGCTCTGACTCAGCAGACTTTGTTCTGCTTTCTGCTAAGCAAACAGTGCTCAGGAGGGTCACAGGAATTAACACCGGGTACTCCGGAGAGAAGTGGCAAAACCACCAGTGAGGGGCTTCATCCAAGATGCTGCAGAAATTCCAGTAAGTTCTGGCATGGGACAGAAAGGCAGGAAAACAGGCCCCGTATCCCTGCCTTCCCCAAGAGCTCTCAACTCAGACCAGCTTCAGAGAAACTCCTTTTTGGCCCCCCATCAGTAATACACCTGGATGTGGTCCCTGGCTGGAATTACACCACCACCTGAGCAGCAACAGCACTAAAACAAGCCCCTGGGAATCTGGAACAGGAGGACACAGCCACAAGCAAGGGCCACTCACAAATACCAGAGCACCAGGCAGGCCAGGAGAGGCACATAGAGGTTGTGCAGGTGTCTGAGCTGGGGGTATGCAGGGACACAGGAGTGTTTAACACACACAGAACATGGTCACAGATGACAAGGCTCAGCAACACTCTGCAGGGGGAACAAATCTCCCCGCAGGGGTCCCAGCAAAGTCACTGGACAGAACGTGCCAAGCAGGACTGAAAGCCCCACATGATGCACAGGCAGCGTTTTCCTCCTCCCAGTGCTTGCCTGTAAATCCCTTCTGCAGCTCCTGGAGGCAGGAGGTGTCCCAGCTCCTCCTGACGCTGACACCAGGCAGGTGGATGCACACCCTGCTGTCGTCGCAGGGCCGCAGGCGGAGGAAGGTCCTCAGGTTCAGCGCCACAGCCAAGGCCACCTGTGGATGAGGAGAAGCAGTGTGAGGCAAAGTTTCTTCACTCTGAGGGTGGTGAGAGCCTGGCCCAGGTTGCCCAGAGAAGCTGTGGCTGCCCCATCCCTGGAGGGGTTCAAGGCCAGGTTGGAGGGGGCTTGGAGCAACCTGGGCTGGTGGGAGGTGTCCCTGCCCAGGGCAGGGGGGTTGGAACTCCATGATCTTGATGATTAAGGGATTGAAGCATCTCCCTGATGAGGAAAGGCTGAGAGAGCTGGGACTCTTTAGCCTCAAGAAGGCTGAGGGGAGACCTTATTAATGCTCATAAATATCTAAAGGGCGGTTTGAGAGAGGATGGAGCCAGACTCTTTTCAGTGGTTCCCAGTGACAGGACGAGGGGCAACGGGCACAAGCTGGAACATGGGAAGTTCCACTCAAACATGAGGAAGATCTTCTTTGGGGTGAGGGTGGCAGAGCCCTGGAAGAGGCTGCCCAGGGAGGGTGTGGAGTCCCAAATCTGGAGATCTTCAAGCCCCAATGGATGCTCCTGAGCGATATGCAGGGGAGTTAGGCTGGATGATCTCTAGAAGGTCCCTTCCAACTCCAACAATTCCGTCATCTTTAAGGTCCCTTCCAACCCACACCACCCTGTGATTCTGTGAAGGGAGGTGAGGGGAGCCGGCCCAGAGCCCCGAGAGCCCCCGGCAGCAGCAGGCCCCTTACCTTGCCGTGCACCACAGCGTGCTCCCCGTGGAGGATGACCTTCCCCGGGGCGGACAGCACCAGGCTCCGCTCCCACATCTCCCGCCGCAGGACGCGACCCCCTCAGGATCTCCCCTCCACCGCCACCTCCGCTGCCCCACTCCAACCGCGAGGACTGACAGCGCCGCTCACCAATAGCAGCCGCGCTTCGCCCCGCCCTCCTTGCCTTCAAACCAATAGCCGCGCTCCGTCCGGGGGCGGGACTTGGGGAAAGCCAATGGGCGTTGAGTGGCGCGGCGCTGGGGTGACAGCGAGCGTGGGCGAAGGGAGGGACGGCGGCCGCCGAGGGTCAAGGGGCGGCGGCGACCGGCGGCTACGGCGGCCGGGAGGGATGCTGGGGCGGGCGGCGGCGGCTGGCCGGGGCCTGCGGGGGCCGCTGGGGGCGG